CTCATTTTTGAGCTGCAAGACTCATTTTAGAATTGGACTGAATTTCAGCTTCATTAGGCATCATTTGCCTCTCTATATACAGGAGAGAGCAAGGACCTATCAGCTGCTCCTGAATGATATTCTGACATGTCAGAAACTTTTGTTGTCAGGCACAGTTAAAGAAGAACCACAGGCTGATTTTTTTTCTCACTCAATCAATCATACAGTGTAGCTGATAGCCAGCTAGTTTGTTGGTGTTGCTAACTTGCTCACTTGTGTGTGTATGTGTAAGAGAAAGAGAGACCAGCTTTATTAAACTGTTTTTTGTTCTGTACAAAAACTATAAATCATTTAAGTTATCACTTTAATAGTTAACACACTTATCCCCGCATCTTCTAGTTATCTTCAAGTGTCTCTCCCACTCATCCATGGGATAAAACCCTGCTGAGCATTTCCAACGTTCTCGTGTTACTTGAAAAAATACACAGACCAATAATGTGATTTATTTACTCCCTTTTCAAAACAAATCAGATACGTCTGCCTCTCAGAGACACTTGTCTCTTATAGAGGATCCAGTCTGGGTTACACAACAGTGGTGCCAGTGGTTCCTTATTGTCTGAGCACACACTGCTATCTCTGACACCGCACAAGATTGATGGCCTCTTGAAGGTGCTGGACCAACGGGGAAGTACCAGAAACTCACTCTGAAGGTCCACCAGAAATGATTCATCATGAGATAAATGAGATCACAAGCTATTTGTAGGAGACATACTAGTCATTTAATTTGCTTTCTAGGTTTGGCAAGTGAAGAGGGAGTTTTTGTGCTTGGGTTAAATCCTGCCAAGTCCTGTTGTTCTTGATAGAAAGTAAGGAAGTACAGCTGTTTAGACGCTGAAGAATGTGAATGGTGCAATCTGAGAGTCACATCACCTTCTTCGCACTGCACGTAGGAAAATCTGGAAATTCTAACATGACCTCAGCTTCCCTATCTACATGTCTGAGTGATGGAAGACGGCAGAGTGGAGAAGAGGCACAATCATAGCCTCCACGCCCTTCTCGTCTCACTCCACTCCATGACTATCACACCACAGTGCTTCCTGCACTGGCGGTCAACATTGCCATGTAAAATAAATCATAGGAGACAGGGTTGCTCTGTTTCCATACCAAATAAAAATGACCACTTAGACACAGTTAATATGAGTGACTGTGTCAGACCGTGATGTAAACTCCCATCCATGAACAAATAACACATGCTAGCCATGTTCTCTTACTGACCATCACGGATCACTTCCTCCCGCACTTCCTGAAAATAATTGTTTGTTATATGGAAAGAAATGTGGTAAATGGAACTGCACATTGTTTTATTTTGTACCAAAGGTCCTCTCCTTGCCACCGCTCCAAAACACAACCCTGGCGCGGACAAAACAAGGAGCACTAACCGTCCCACCCTGTAATAATGAGTTCGGTCATTGTTTATTGAAAAGGTCACTTCACATGTCTCTCTGCCGGTTGCCTGAGGTTGTATTCCAAAACATGAAGTGGAGGGTCACTGACTGTTGGACTTGACGTCAGTAACGTGTGAAAAACTCAGAGTCTATAGTAGGATACCAAACTTAAAGGTGGCACGACTTGATTATAATGTCAACTGGAACATTGTTAGAAGTCCTGCTTAGTGTTTATGTGTATGACATAATTCCACAGGGAGGCTCAATAGAGGGGAACATTGAGCAAACAAATGAAACATCACACATACACTGGAATATATTACAGTGAATCAGAATGCAAATTATAAAAATTTCCATTTTGTCTTGGACACAGTTGAGCTCTTTGTACATTGCAGCGTGCTCTGATGACAAGATGACAGGAAAAAGATGACATTTCCTTTTGGGGTCAGATTACCGCAGAGTGTTTCTATAAACTGGGGCCAAATATCATCTAAAAACCTGTCGTACAAATATGCCCCTGTAAACAGAGAGAGGAGAGACTGAGTATTTATTGACCTCTGGGCTATGACTGTTATTTGACTTGTTGGAAATGTCACCTTTGTCTGTTCAATGTGTTCTCTGGGAAAAAGCTGATTCATAGTTACTTAGCATGAGTTTATTTTTTTTCCACATGGACTGTTGGTTCTTGTTATTCAAAGAAAAATGTTTACTGGGATACTTACTTAATTTTTTTTTGTTGCAACAGGATGATAAATGATCTGCTTTGATGTCTGATGCTCTGGGTCAGAGCGAAGAGCATCCAGAAGTACATTCATATAATCTGTCTGCAACATTTTGGATTCAGAGTGTAGCTGTGGTCAGTGTGTTGGTGTTGAGGGCGGCGTTATAGGAAAGACTGGCTGAGCATGAGCATGAGGCTGTTTCCAGCTCAGACACAATGTTCCGCTGTGTTGCAGCAGATGATGGCAGTGGACAGGGGAAGAGATTTTCTGGAGAATTGCATTCGTCTGCTTCCAAGTAATTCTACCTCACTGTGTGTCATCTACCAAACAGTGACTGCAGTTTGCATGTCAAACTTCCAGCAAAATGAGAGGGGGGTTTTGTGATCGAGCGCTGAGCTGTTTCTGGTGGTAGCGGAGAGAACCTTGTGGGAGGTCACTCTGCGGCTCTGCGTACGTGCAGAATGTGAACAACCTCAGCCTGTACACTTCTGTGTTTTCCTTTAAGGAGTCAAACTCGGCAGGTTGAGGGGCTGTGGGGTATGTGGAGCACAGAGCGGGTGACTCGGGGTGAAAGGGAGTCTTTCAGCTGGACACATTTCAGGGATGTTTTGGGAAGCTGTGATGGAAACGGGGGAGGTTAGGCGGCCCATTCCTCCCTCTAGGGTCCTTGCGGTGTCAGAGCAAAGGGAGAGAGCGAAGGAAAGAGAGCCTGCTGCAGTACAGAATGTCTTCAGCCTGCTCTGTATTAACCTCAGTGAAAACAAGCCCCCGTCAGAGTTCAGCCACAGTGCTGCTCCTGCAAGTACGCAGGTAGACTCTGGAGCATAGGACCACTCAGTCAGGAAATGCTCCCATGTGGCAAGGGAAGGGAGATAAAAGGGAAAGGGGGTGGAAATGATAAGCTGCTAAACCACACTTAAACTAATATTTATGTACCATACTTACAGTAAGGATAAATGTTGAGCATTGGGCGGTTTTGGTTTTCCCAAAATAAAGAAAGTCGGGGGAGGAATTCTAGGAAGGTTATTGACTGTGTGTGTTGGAATAGATAGATATCATATGATTGCAACTGTGTGGTACTGAAAGTAGTGTAAAATGGAAAGCTAACTTAACTTGGCAAACAGTAGTCCAATCACAGATGAGTCATGTCAGGCTGAATGTCTTTAAGCAACATTGGACAGCCATCATTGCTTTGGTATGTGAGTGTGCGTGTGACAACTAACACTGGTGGGAAAAGTATTTAGATTTTGGGGTGCCCAAGTAGCTCTTTGGGTAGAGCATGTTTTTTTAAGGCTGATGTGTGTGACCAAATACCCTTTCACAATGAGCATAAAAATGCCTAAAAATATCTTTTAAAAAAGTACTTAGATCTCAGGATACTTAAAGGGTAAGTTCACCACCATATCAAAAATACATAACTTTTCCTCTTGCCTGTAGCGCTATTAATTAATCTAGATTGTTTTGGTGTGAGCTGCTGGGTGTTGGAGATATCAGCTGTAGAGATGTCTGCCTTCTTTCCAATATAATGGAACTAGATGGCACTCAACTTGTGGTGCTCAAAGTGCCAGAAAAATACATTTGAAAAACTCAACAGCAATGTCTCATGACAGAAACCATGACCTGGTTACTCAAAATAATCCACAGACCTTGTTGTGAGAAGTTTCATGTAGGAACTACTTTCTCTCTACCGAACTACACCTGCCAACCGTCGAATCATCGGTCAGAGACCCCTCAATCGACTGAGATAGATTATATTAGAGATTATCTTCTCTCCTCTGCTTGAAAAGTGGTGAATTTACAGCTCACAGCAAGGACGGCACAGTCTCTGGTTTTTGGTTAATATCTAGTATCAGCAAAACATGTTTCCGATCCGTCGTTAGCGCAGTTAGCTTGTTTATTATATTATGGGGAATGCCAACGTTACTGTCAGCATCCTGCTAAACCCGTTTAAACTTTAAATGAAAAATACAAAAAATAGTTGAATATTCATATTTAACAACCAAATCTGATTCGACTGACATAATTCTGAGTCAGGGACAGCCCAAGTAAACATAAATGGTGCCCTCCTCAGCTGTAATGTTAGCTAGCTCAGTGGTGCTAACTGCTCACAACAAGGTCTATGGATTTTTTTGAGTAACCAGATCATGATTTCTGGAAAGAGAAATTGCTGTTGAGTTTTTCAACGAATTTTTCTTTTCTTTTTTTTTTTTTTTGAGCACCACAAGCCAAGTGCCATCTAGTTCCATTATATTTGAGAGAAGGCAGACATCTCTTTGGTCAATATCTCCAGCACTCTGCAACTCACACCAAAACAATCTACATTGATAAATAGCACTACAGGTAAGAGGTAAAATATGTATTTTTGATTTTGAGGTGAACTGTTCCTTTAAAATTGCTCCTCCATGGAGGGTTAACATAATTAACTTGCTCCCTAATGCCAAAAGTGTAATGTTCTCTATCTCTAGTCTTTAATATTTCACACTTTCTGTCATTGTTATATCAGTTAAAGGAAAAACAGTGCAGTGTTTTGATAAAAGATAGATAACAGTGACTTGGCTGGAAATGCATGTGTCCGTTCAGGAAAAAAAAAAATGACACAGCAGTCAAAAGTACAGAGCGCTCTGTGTTAAATATTGACGAGTGAACCTTGCGGCTGCTTACTGTCGCCTGTACTGAGTCGCAGCCTGCTTGTAAAGGGTTGAGAACAAGAGCATGCTGGGCCTGTAACCCATATTAATCTTTCACAACAACACTGAGACCAGACATCAGCATCTATTATTACCTCTTTGACCTCTCTGGCCTCTGCCATTCTCAGCACTTTGGCTGCTCTGACTGATGCACCCCACAGGTTCGGTTAGAAATCAATAAAAAAAATGTTTATTGTGCATAGTAGGGTACAGGCTGTATCACACTGGGTCATTATGCAACACATTATTTAGCTATTCCACACAGCTTATTACTCAGACATCGCTGTATGCTTAATAAATCATGTCGTACAGTGATGTATTATGTGTAGTAAAGGAAGGAGACAGTATAACCAGTGATTACATTAGTGGCTTTGAGACATATATTACATATGACATAAGTTATCATCAGAATACAACAGCATTATGCATGATTTAGGAGTACATAAATGTAGATGACTTGCACGCTGTATTAAGCTCAGACATAAAAAAGTTCAATGCAAAGATAAATGAGTGTCTGGGTGAATAACTGCTCAGTTGAGACCACACAGCTGGCACATGATGTCTCCCCATCAGCGAGAAAAACAAAATGCTTAAAGTGAAATTTATACATCACCACCGGTTTATATTGCAATTTAGGGTGACTCCGCTAAATACCCTCATATAAATAACAATACATACTTAAGGTTTATTATGAATTGTGGCTTTGGGCAAACACATCAAAGGCTTCCATTACATTTTTTCTGTTTCTTACATGATGCGGCAGAGCCACTACAGATATATTTAGGTTTTCTCAGTCTGTCACAGTTTTTCAGAGTTGAGGAGTGTGATTGCTGTCAAGTCCAGATATGACTCACATTCGTTTTTAGTGTCATTTACAGGGAGCTTACTTTGAATACAGTAACAGAATGAAATAACATTATTGTCTTTGATCACAATTTTAAATGTCAGCAGAAGTTAAAAAGCATGTTTTTGGTTAATTAAAGCTTATTACATAAAAATCCTCTGTGATACAAGGTATAGATATTTCTTTTAGGACACATACCTTTCATTGCATTGCTGCTTTTTTACTTGGAGAACCAGTTTCAGAGTCTTATTGGCCTACAAGTAATTCTCCCCGGAGTTTGACAGTGATCTTGTAATCTAAAGGCTTCAGTGTTAAACCATAGGAGCAGTTTAAAGACAGGTCCTCATCGGCACATTTCTCAAAGCGACACTGGTGGAGAAGAATTGCAAAGAACAAAAATAACTCAACCTTGGCAATCTGGTTCCCGATACATCTTCTCTTCCCCGCTGAGAAGATCATAACATTGTTGGTGAGATCCCTGTCAAGGGAGCCATTTTGGTCCAGGAAGCGCAAGGGGTCAAAGATGTGTGGATCCTTCCACGTCAGGGGGTCGTGATTGATGGACCACTGATTGATGAAGACCACCGTGTCTTTGGGGATGTGGAGGCCTTCGATGGTGACGTCTGAGGTTGTGGAGTGGGGGATGGTGAAGGGGACGAAGCTGGTGAAGCGCATGGTCTCATAGATGAAGGCGTCCAGGTAGGCCAGGCTGCTTCTGTCCTCGATAGATGGCAGCCTGTTTCGTCCCACGACTTTGTCAATGAGCACCTGCAGCTTGGTTTGTATTTCAGGGTGTTTAGCCAGCAGAAGGAGAATCCAGTGAAGAGCAGTAGAGATGGTGTCCAGACCTGCACCGATCAGATCTGTCACCGTACCCTCTGTGTGGCTTTTGGTGAGGCCGTTGTCACTGCCAGCTTTGTCAATCACGCTAATAATGGCATCGCTCATATCTCGTGTTACCTCTGGATCATATGTCTCTCTGTGCTCCTCCACCTTGTTCTGAACAAACCCAAAAAACTCTTTATTCAGGTTTTTGAAGTCCTTGAACATGCTGCGGACCGGGTTAGGGAAAGACTGCAGCCATGGCATCACATCTACCAAGCTGCCAGCCCCCACTGTCTCTCCAAACTTAGCTGTCCTCTGTAATAAGGCTCTAAACTCAACATCATCATGTCCATAGCGCTTTCCAAAGCACAAGGCACAAATCACATTAGCTGCAGCTACTGTCAGCTCATGAGCAGGGTTGAAATACTGGTCCTGAGCACTGAGTTTAAGGAAAATCTCAACTAGCTCTGTGGCTTCAGCCACAATTTGCTGCTCAAAGGCTTTTTTGGTCTGGCTGTTGGCAGATGAGAATGCTCTGATCGTTGATTGAGCAATTTTCCTGTGCATCTTCCACTGTTTGCTGTAATTGGTGAAAGTCATACTTTTCCCCCCTGAGACAGACTGAAAAGAGACAAAGTTTGGTCTGCCTGCAAACTCTGTGCTGCGCTGTATGAGAGCCTCACGTATCACCCTGTCTCCATTCAGCACCACAATATCGCTGCAGCCTAGCCGTATCTGGTACACATTGCCATATTTTTTGGCTAGCTTGGCGAAAGTGATGTGAGGCATCTGGCCCAGCTGCATGACGTTGCCCACCAACGGCCAGGCGAAGGGTCCCGGCAGTCTTCTTTTGAGCCTGAGGTTCCTGACCCACAGGCAGGTTTCCAGACAGAAGAGGAAGACAAAAGTGGCCACCAGAGCTGGCTGGACTTGTCCACTCCATTCCCTGATGATGCTGCTGCCCTTCACACCAAACTCAGAGTCCACTTGAGCCATTATGTTATCCTATAGTTTGTCTATCTTCCACTGCGTCCAATAAAAAGGCAATTTTCACTAGAAACAACAGACCATTTCAAGTGGTCCCTCTTTGTGCAGTCTTAAATACATTAAAATACAAATTCTTTATGTCCTATTTTAAAATCAGAATGACAAAATAGCCAAAGTAAAAGGAATCCAAGCGGTCCTCACATGCTGTCTCACCCCTCCACCACAGAAGCTAGTGAGAAGGGCTCGATCAGGTTCAAGCCTTAACACTTCGCTTATATGTATCTCTATGGTGGGAGGGGTCAGCGACTCAGGTTTTTTATTATCTCTCCCCTCCCATTTTGACCACAGCCTGCAGACCTTATTCCCACTCAGGCTTCTTTCCAGCAGCGTCCCTTTTAGGATGACAGAGACGCAGAGCAGCTACTTAATAGGCACTACTGCCAAAAAGTACAGATATACAGTTTTATTGCCAAAGAACAAAACATAGATTACCATGACGCTTTTAAAAGATAAACAACTCCACATAATTGTGTGCCCTGAGATCTATTTGTCACAAAATATCTTATCTAATGTTGTTATATTGAAAAATGATGCACTTACTGTAATGTGATGGAACAGTATAGAAGTGTAGCTTATAGGGTAAGTAATGGACAATAAGCTGGGGCTGATTGTTTTTTCCGCTGGAGTTAGATGACTTTGCTGTTTGCACTTTCCTATGGACTTTCCATGGCCATTTTGAACATGATTTGTTTTCTGTTATTTACAGCCAAGCTGTTAATTATAACCATACAGGGGAAAAAGGCTCTGGGATATCACCATGAAAGCTGAGGGCTTCAGATCCAAACTGAACAGATACAAACCCCACCATTTATTATGCTCCATAAAAGCACATATATACAGTGTTATTCTCAGCATAATAGCTCTTTAAAGAAAGGTCACAGAGATAAAGACTCTGTAAGGGTTGTGGCTGCATCAGAATAGTTTAAAAGAGAATTCAGATGAGAGGGGTTTAGCTATAAATGTGCTTGTGTGGGTGCTTGTGCAACAAAAGGAAGAACTTCAACATCAGCTTTGGTTTTAGTGATGTTCAGCCACAAGTGGAGTATTCCAGAGCTTTCTATTTTGGTAACAATGAGGAATGACGGACATCTAAACAGCGGTGGGACCTAATATCACATTGTTGGCGCATATCTGACAGTGCCAGCTAGGAAGTGCTTCAAGACTGAGGGTGTAGTTCAGTAGATTTGAAGGAGTATTGAGAGATTTTGGGCTTTCTTTAAAGGCTGAAGCAACAATCAAACAGGACACAGTGGCCATTGACAGTTCACTTTATTAATGTCAGATATAGCTTATTGTTCCATCATATAAAGCCAACACACTGATAACAAAATATCCTCTATGAGGAATGATTAAACATTCAAGGTAGAGAGACACATCCCTTGGGCATTTGAAACATCTTCCTGAATGCATAGGCTTAGAGAGAGTGCAGTGACATTTATGTAGCTTTGAGAAAGTGACTTTGTAAACAAACTTGTTTTTGAGAATGCCTCATGAGTGAATGAAATTTGCTGTACATGTGTGTGTCTTTTATTTTATTCATTTCTTTTCGTACTGGCGAGACTTGTGTGTGTTGGGCACGGGGCAGCTGCAGTGCTTGTACAGTAAAACTGAACCCTGGGTGCATAAAGTTTGTGAAGCGTTCATGGTTCATGGCAATGTCTCTTCTTCATCCAGAGCACTGCGATGGGATGTCCCTTGATGAAAGACTTCCTCCTCCACAAACATGTCAGCCTCTTTCTTCACTTTGATCAGCATTCTTTGTTTAGTGTGTTCATATGCTTTCAGTACAGTAGATAGTGAAATACATTAAACTTCATTACATTGGTTGTCATACCTGAAATATGAAATTATAAAAAATATTTTGTAACTGCTTTACGTGGCAAAGATTAAATATATTCTTACATATTACAAATGAGAAAAATCAGTCATCACGTGACTTTATAACATTCACAAGCATTTCATATACAGTTATATCAGTCTAAATTGACATTTAAGGGATGGGGCTATTACCTGCACACACATCATACATGTACATGCACAATAGTGGATGTAAAACAAGCACACGACTCAGAATTATGTACAAAATCTGATCAAGTATAGAGTATTTTGTGACGCAGAAATTTAATACCTTTGCACTGATTCCAACAACCTTGAATTCTCCCTAATATTACATCTTTGACATCATATTCTCAGCCAACAATAATTCAAATACAGACTGTGTTAAGATACCCATTAAAAATCATTATTAAATATGAAACTCATACAACAGTAGGATTTAGTGCAGGTATGTTGATACTCACTGTTAAATGTCATTGGTGAAATAAAAGTGTTTGCTGGCCTTGAGTCACAGTATTGGGACGTGCTGTTCATGCTGGGGAAACCAAGCCAAGCAGCTTTCCCCTGAGCTTGGCGCTGACACAGAACCGGAGGGGCTTCAGTGTGAGCCCGTAGGAGCAGTCAAGGGTGAGGGGCTCTGAGGGGTCGCTCTCAAAGCTGCACTGGTGCAGCAAGATGGCTGTGAATAAAAACACCTCCACCTTGGCGATCTGGTCGCCGATGCAGCGTCTTTTACCTGTTGAAAAGATCATCACGCCGTTGGTTATGTCCTTATCGAGGGCCCCGTTTTCATCAAGGAAGCGTGCCGGGTCGAAAATGTGAGGGTCTTTCCACTTCAAGGGGTCGTGGTTGACGGACCACTGATTGATGAAGACAACTGTGTCTTTGGGGATGTGGAGACCCTCGATCGTGACGTCTGAGGTTGTGGAGTGTGGGATGGTGACAGGGACGAAGCTGGTGAAGCGCATGGTCTCGTAGATGAAGGCGTCCAGGTACGCCAGGCTGCTCCTGTCCTCAGTTGACGGCAGCCTGTCTTGGCCTACCACTTTGTCTATGAGCTCTTGCAGTTTGGCTTGCATGTCTGGGTATTTGACCAGGAGCAGGAGGATCCACTGCATGATGGTCGACATCGTGTCCTGACCCGCTCCGATTAGATCTGTGACCGTCGCTTCAACAAACTCTTTGGTCAGTCCACTGTCCTGTCTGTGCTCAATCGCATTGATGATGGCGTCACTCATGTCCCGGGTCACATCAGGGTTAAAGGACTCTCTGTGCTGCACCACTTTGTCCTTCACGTAGGCAAAAAACTCCTCGTTGAGGTTTTTGAAGTTCTCATAGACGCTGCGGACCGGATTAGGGAAGGACTGAAGCCAGGGCATGACATCTACCAAGCTACCTGCCCCTACTGTTTCCCCAAACTTGTCCAGCTTTTTCAACATGGTCCTGAACTCCAGGTCTTCATGTCCGTATCGCCTCCCAAAGCAGAGAGCACACATGATATTAGCAGCAGCTACTGTAAATTCATGAACAGGGTCAAAATACCGTCCATCCGCGCTGTGGCGCAAAAATACCTGCACCAGCTCCATGGCCTCGGCTATGATATGTTGCTCAAAGGCTTTTTTGGTCTGACTGTTTGCAGAGGAAAAGGCTCTGAGGCTGGACTGGGCTATTTTCCTGTGCACTTTCCACTGTTTGCTGTAACTAGTAAATGTCAAACTCCTGCCTCCAGAGATCATCTGGAAAGAGACAAAGTTTGGTCTGCCTGCAAACTCTGTGCTGTGCTGTATGAGAGCTTCACGTATCGCCCTGTCTCCATTCAGCACCACAATATCGCTGCAGCCTAGCCGTATCTGGTACACATTGCCGTATTTCTTGGCAAGCTTGGTGAAGGTGATGTGAGGCATCTGGCCCAGCTGCATGGCGTTGCCCACCAACGGCCAGGCGAAGGGTCCCGGCAGTCTTCTCTTGAGCCTGAGGTTCCTGACCCAAAGGCAGGCTTCCAGACAGAAGAGGAAGACAAACGAGGCAACCAGAGCTGGCTGGACCTGTCCGCTCCATTCCCTGATGATGCTGCTGCCCTTCACACCAAACTCAGAGTCCAGTGCCATTGTGACAAATTTTCTGCACACTAAAAAAAGAAAAACAAAAAACACTTTTCAACAAAGTCTATTCAGTTGTACACTTGGAAGAAAAAATATATATCCATATCTGATGAGAAAAATATTTGAAGATATGTCAATGAAATGCCAGTGAGGTCATAGTGATAAAAATCTGACAGAAAAAGTGAGTTCAGGTGAAGTTTTTTTTTTTGTCTTTAGTCAGTCTTTTCATCAAGATTTAAGGCTTAAGTGCCTGCTGTTTGCTCCACACCAGCTTCTTATATGTTTTGCAGTTGGTGGGCAGGGCTCAGGGTAACTTTCATACTCCTCCCATTGTGGTAGCCCTGCAGACCCCACTGTATCATCTCTCTGTTGTCGCTCGCTGTCGGAGGCGCGCGCTTGTGAGCGTCGAGGGACACCGTGAGCGTGCAGCGTGAACGGCCGCCGTCCACCGCAGAGAGAGGCAGAGGGGGAGAGAGAAAAAAAGAGTCAGCAACTGGTGACCGATTCAGTAGGAAACGTGTCGAGCCAATTTGTTTTACTAATTGGAGGACTGGCAGAGTTTGCAGGTTTCAAAGTGTAGCTTTCTAACATGATTTATTTTCTGGCTGCAGAGGACTCCGCGGGCGCACTTTGGCTTGAAAAATCTGTTTGTATACGGTTTGTCCAACTCTAGACTGAGTTTATACTTTGATTAAATGTGTGCAAAATCTAATATGTGACATTATATATTTACTCAGCTATTTTTTGACTTAGTTTGCATGCTCATGCATCCTATGTGAATTTAACCAGATGTAAAGTGCAGCCGCGTCTGTAATGATACATGTTTAGGCTATAACGATCAATTCAGCGATTTAAAAAGCCAGTCATTTTTTTGTATTTATTTGTCCAAAAGTGCACTGATAGATTGTCATAAAATGTTAATAGCGCCGAAGATAAAGTTGAGAGAAAGTTGCGCACCACGCAGTTCGACTCCAAACACTCCCATCCGACCGCATTTTGTTCTAAATTAAGATGTTTTATTTAATTTAAATAGCTAGAAGATAATAACATGATCAAAATAAAAAAAAAATCACACTTGTAGCATATACAAGTAAGAAAAAAATCACCTCAGACATAATATCAGATTGAAAAATATCACATATATAAATATCAAGATCAATATGAGTTCATTGATCCCTGTGTAAATCTTACAGTCATGTATTTGATTTTTCTTCCATCCAACAAGACGATTTTTTCGCCTTAGTGTCTGACAGTGGCAGAATAATTTGCCTGCAACAACAACTCAGTGTGGACAAGCCATGAAATATTGATACCTGAATTTGCTTCAACTTCTGAACTGCAGTTTTATATGACATCATACCACAAGAAACTTAAGGTGCCCCCCCCCCCCCCTAAACAGTGGTTCTCCTCTGGAGCTACAGTCCCCAGAAATATGGGGAGAGTACTGAACTGAGGAGAAGCAAGAAGGAAATCTAGGCCAAATCTTGGTCATATTTAACTTTTGTTGGCACAGTAATAAATCACAAGCTCTGTTTTTTTAGTTTTCACAATCATGCTCATGTTTTACCAGATAGATAGATAGATAGATAGATCACGAGTAAGACTTCTCTGATGATTCTGTTACATTATAAGTTGAAAGTAATGTGATTTCCCAAAGCAAAACATTTCCCTCCTCTGTGCGAAGGCCAAATTTGTTTCTTGTTTTCCCACCAACTGTGAAGTTTATTTTTGCAGGGAGGTAATGACCCTAATTGAAGGTACTAAAACATTTCCGAAGCAAGGCAACACTAAGTCAGAGGGACAGAAACTTCACCGCCACACAGGCACAGTCCGTCATTATCAGCAGGAAAGGAAGGGGAGGAGGAAGAGTGAGGAAGGTGGTAAATGTTGAAAATGAACTGACATTTTAAAAACTATTGACACTGAGTTAAGGGTCCATTTTTTTCAGATTATAAAAACAATGATAAAGACAAGGAGGCAGGAGGATCATTATTACACATGCAGAACACACATCTCATGAGTCAAATCGAACATTAACCATGCGCTGTCTGTATAACTCATCATAAAGTTTAACCGCTGCTGTGACAGTGGATGTTTAACATCCCTCAGATTAAGTGACTGGATCTGCAAAGCAAACATTTCACTGCTTCATCAGATATAACAGAACACTTTTATATGAAGTTATGCTTTCACAGTCCAACCATACACCCTATAACTGATTTAATAAACTGATACATAACAGATCCTATGGGCACAGCATGCTCAAATTGTCAAAACAAACAGGAAGGCAACAATAAAAGTAACTTAAGTGTAACTACATTATGTGTTATGTGTCATTCTTTCACAATAATGGTCCTTAAACAGCCTTTTACAGATGTTGAGAGTTTCGCTGGTTCAGAGCTCTGCCTGAGAGCTGTTTGTCTTGAGAAATGCGGTGTGGCGGAGCACCAAAGCCTCCAGAACGATTCCTCGGTTAACCAGAGACATAGCAATGTCTTCGAGTACACTGCCTGCACTGGGGATGACTGTTTCTTCTCTCCTCTGTTCCTATAGGGGGAATCCCCCCCCCCCCCCCACCTCCACCTCTCCACCAACACCACCACTACCTCCTCCTCCTCCTCGCCTGAGTCTGCTCCTCATACACATGTGGCCACTCGCATCCCCATCACGCTAATTAGAGCCAGGTTTGTGGCTGAGGAAAGGGGTGGTTGGGTGGCGGGAGCGGGGGAGATTGTAGTTTGTGTGTATGTGTGTGGGAGGGGTGGAGGCCCGGATTGGAGGGGTGGTGGTGGTGGTGGGGGGGGGTGTCGTGTGTGCATTTTGCGTGTGGCTGCTGTGTTTGCCTGTGATTACCCCTTGTAACCTGGCTGTGAAAGGTTGGCCCTGACCCTGCGTTGACTCTGGCTGAAGGGGGGGGGGGGGGGGGGGGGGGGGGGGGGGGGGGGGGGGGGGGGGGGGGGGGGGGGGGGGGGNGGCGGGGATGGGGTCTCTAGGCCGCTGCATGTCATGTGCTGGCGGGTGGGCGCTCGCTGTGCAGAGACAGGGCCAATGGTAGACCAGGCTGCTCCGGCTCTGGAGCTAATCATTGTTTACTAGTCTCATTTCCACTTCTCAGTGAGCTACTGTCACGCACAGCACCAACAGGGAGGAAGGAAGAGGGAAGGGGGGGTGTAGGGGTTTGGGGGTGTGAGGGTGGGGGGAGCAGGGAGAGGAAAGCCAGGGGTCCAACAGGCAGTTGGGGAGCTGTTGGGATTCGGGAAAGGGAAGAGCAGAGAGAATGCAGGAATTTAAGTGAAGATTGCTTTTTTTTTTCTTGAGAGAACAAAGGTGAGCCAAGACCGAAAAAGCTGCAGCCAAAAACAACCCGACAAACCAGTAAACAGACCAACAAAAACATCCTCTGGCCCAGAGCCATCTCAGGCGGCCAGGAGGTAACCACCGGACATTGCTAGTTAGAGATGGTGATGTTTGAAATGAGAACGTTTTCGCTTTCCAGACCACAATACGAGGATACTTGGAAAGATTGTCACTGTCTGACATGATTGTTGTTTGTGTGTAGAAAGAAAAGACGTGCAAAGGCACAATTCACTTCAGTGGGATGATACCAAATGGACTGGTGGTTAGAGCGGTACAAGTAAGCAGATATTCACATATACACACACAAGAAGGATCAATTTCAACCTTATGCTGTTGAATTCTGTTGTTAATTCTCAGAGGTCGGGGTTCGGATCATTATTTCACATGTTGATTATGTTAGAAAGTAAAAATGATACAAATCATTTGACCACAAACATGACTCTGAATGGGTCATGTCTAGATTTTAACCCCAGATTCACAAAAACGCCTGGCAGATTTTAATATTCCATGTTTCAAGTTATCATTTTAACCCAATCCATTGTCTTTCCCTCACCCTAACCAAGTGCTGTTTGTGCCTAAACCTTCCCCAACCTTAGCCACTGAGTCGTCTCACCATGAAACAGGGAACAAGAATGTTATCAAGCAGCTCAATCTCTCTAACCACAACCCTCCAAATGCTAATGTTGTTCAGTATCTTCTGGGTGTGTGAATATGCAACTGTTTGCTAACGTGTCTTCGCAATTAGCTGCGGTGCCCCCAAGTGGTCAAAAACATAAATTAATTCAGGATTACCATTGATTTTTTTTTATTCTTAAGTGCTGCTGTGCCTGTTTTACGAATGTTTCAAACATAATCCACAAATAAAACACTGAGGCCTCCTTACAGAAACTTTCTAAGTCTGAAATCCTGTTTTGTCTTTAAGAAACATGTTTCCTAACTGCATTCAGGAAGAAAAATCATATCGTAGGATAGAAATTAATTATGGAACTAGTTACTAGACCCTGTCCTAAATTCATGATGCCAACAGTGGCAGCAGCACTGTCTTCAGGTCTGTATGGTAATGACTAAAAATATGGGGAGCAACATGAACATTGAAATATAATCATTGAAAGGCTACTGAAACCTCTTGATGACGCTTTCAATTTTCTGAACCATTTATTTATGGGTATATGTCGACTACCACAATCGAACGCCCATCTTTTTGTGTCCATGATAGCAAACTAGCTCGCCAGTGACAAGCGAAAGCTGCTGATATTATGGTTCATCCATTTTGAGTAGCCTTCCGACATGTTCTAATAGGCATGACAGGACAAGTGCCAATGGAGGAAATGCATGTACAGTTACAATTAGGATTTCTAAGACAAGATAGGAGGTCTTAGATTGGATGGGGCACAGCCATGAGTTTAGGTTCGGTTTAGGTTCAGGCCCCTGATTATTTTATCCAGCATCAAAATGGTTAAAAAGGAAAATATTGTACTAAGGTTGAAAATATACTTTTGTAAAAATGTCTAAATCTATGCTTAGACTGAGTCAAGGATCAAATCCATGTTTGATATTGTAAGGAAAAAAAGGCTAAGGAAAATACAAATAAAAAATGACAAAGCATTTGTTGACTACGAACATTCTCCATGTATTGTGTTACGTATACATTTCACCACACGCAGCACAGTGAACCCCAGGCACACAAAACAAGAATGAATTATTGAGAATTCAATTCCTTGTTTGTTTACTTGTCAAAACATCCGTGTCTTCACTCGTCTAACAGGCCGTTTCACAACAGACGCCTCAACGTGCGATGGGGTGAATTACAGTATCACAGCAGGCCCTGTGTTCATTTAGATTTGGAGAAAAGGAAAGGAAATACCATTCCAAAGAAT